AGAGAGAGATAGAGAGAGAGAGAGAGAGAGAGAGAGCCACAGAGTGAGAGAGAGAGCGAGAGAGACTTGCGTTGACTTGTCGATTGGCATGGCATGTTTGTTCTTGGCATGAGCTTGACCTTGCTTGCTTTGTCGTTGTCCTTACCCACGCAGAACATGCGAGACACCGTTGGCCGGGTGTCGGGACTGAAGTGCCATACGTTCCTGCTTCTGGCCAACCCACTTCGGTGGATGACAGCAGAGCACATGGGCTAATGCGTCTGCTGGGCAGGATCCTGTGCTCACCCGTTTCGACAATCCTCTCCCCCTGACCGTGCGGCCGGCGGTCACACAGGGGTGCATGTTGCCGAGCGGGGACAGCGCCAGTGCTCTGTCGCCCACTTGGGGTGGAAGGGCGAGGGCTGCACAGTGCCTTCAGACTGCAGGGGAGGCCGCAAGAGAGACAAAGAGAAGGAAAGAGAGAAAGAGAGAGAGAGAGAGAGCCACAGGGAGAGAGAGAGAGCGTGACACCGTTGGCGAGGTGTCGGGAGGGGAGGCTAGGAGAGAGACAGCAGGAGACAGAAGGACAGAACCAGGGAGAATTCCACAGAAACCTACTTGAAAAAAATTAACTACCTCAGGCCGCAAGAGAGACAAAGAGAGAGAAAGAGAGGGAAAGAGAGAGAGAGAGAGAGAGAGAGAGAGAGAGAGAGAGAGAGAAAGAGAGAGAGAGAGAGAGACACACAGAGTGAGAGAGAGAGCGTGACACGAGGGGAGGCCAGGAGAGGGACAGAAGGTCTGAGATACAGAGAGACAGAACCAGGGAGGATAATTCCACAGAAACCTGCTTGAAAAAATTAACTACCTAAAGCGATCTTTAGAAAGGCAACACAGGGAGCCCTGCATGAATGGACTTGCCCCGCTCTCCGAGGTAAGCCGCAGCTTGTGGCAAGTGATGCCCTCATGGCCTCCCTAGGGTGGCCCAGCAATGCAGCAGACGTAGAGTTGCTGTACGACTTGGCAGCCGTCCGCAGGGCTGTCCTGAAGCGCAGGTACCCAGCTGAAGAGTCTTAGGCTGGGGCCTGCGAGCAGTTGCTTTTCCTTCCTTCCCCTTTCCAGGCGTCCACCGCGGCGCCGCTGCTGCAACGCGCGAGCTACGCTACAGCAGTGACAAGACTTCTCCTTCTTCTTCTCTTCTCGCAGGGCATGCATGGAGCCAGGAAAGGGAAGGGGTCAAAGCAGATGAGAGAAAGTGATGGAGAGAGCTGTTCTTCGTCCCTCTGACCTCCTCCTCTCATTTTACTCATATCAGAAGGGCCTGGAAAGGAGTGAAAGGTAGGGCATGGACTGAAGCGAGGGAATAGGTGAAAGTGGATAAGAAACAATGTTAGACAGGCCAGCTCGCAGCTTGCCTGCGGCCTGGCCTGCTGAGCCTGGTGGGCTCTCGAGGGTGGGCAGGGGCCTGCTGAGATCCGCGGCCAGCACGCCCCGCTTGCTTTGAGGCAGGGCCGGGCTGAGTGGGTTGGGTGAGTGAGTGGGGAGAGGGTGGAGAGGAACAGGGAGAAGAGGGTGGGTGGAGAGAGGAGGTAGAGGGAGCGCAAGGAAAAGGGGGGGAGAGGGGTGGGAAGAGGGAGGTAAAGGCAGGTAGGGGCAGGAGGGAAAGGGGAGCAGAGTGAGATGGCAATCAGGAAGGGTTACGGGTGAATGAAGAAGCGCGGATGAGGGGAGGGCGGGTGGACAAAGGGAGGGGAAGAGGAGGGAGTGGAGGGTGGGTGCGTTCTTTGGATTGTATAGTCTAAGGGTTTTCTACAAAGGGTTCCATATCAGGGATCTGTACAAAGGATCTATAGATTTCTATAAGGAGTATATAAAGACTGTGTATGAGGGCTCCATATAATCGATCTTTCAAAGATTTTTTCATAAAGGACTCCATTTGTGGGAAACATAAGCGGTTCTTACAAGTTCTTTATCTCGAGGATCTGTAAGGTTTATGTATCTATGAAGCTTTCTATATGGGCTCTATAGACCCCATAAGACAAATTAAAAAGTGATGAAGGTGATAAGAAGATGATAAGAAGATGAGTGATGGGAGGAAAAGTGATGGGAGGTGAGGAGACATCAGATGGGAAGGGAAGGAATGAGTTAGGAGTGGGGAAGGTAGGAGGCAAGTGAGAGGGACAGGGTGGATCATTTACAAACGCCTTTAGGGGGACCCTCCTTGCGATGTGTGATTTTCGGATCTGAGTTCTTACAAAGCCTGAGAGGGGCACACCCCGTGCGATCTGTGATTCTTGGATCTGAGTTCTTACAAAATATTAGGGCGACACCCTTGCGATTTGTGATTTTTGAACTTACTTGTCATGAAAACTAAACTTTAGGGGACACCCCTTAAGATCTGTGGTTTTGGGATTTGAATCTTCACAAAACCTTAAGGGGGACACCCCTTGCGATTTGTGCTTTTTGCACTTACTTGTCATGAAAACCTTTAGGGGGACACCCCTTAAGATCTCCTTGCCGTGGAAGACGCGGGCTTTTCCGCAGCTGCTGCACTGTCTCGGCCCACAGCATCTCCAGCATCATCCTGGACTTCCAACTGAGGTGGTGGAGTGGTCGCGGAGGCAGTGGAGTCGAGCTTCTCTGCAGTAGGTAGAGGTTCCAGTGTGACCGGCGTGACACTAGGCATGGTACCCGGCCAGGCACCTGGATTGGGGTCAGCCTTCGAAGAATCGTGGCAAGGCCTGATATCTGAGTTTTCACAAAACCTTAGGGGGATACTTAAGAAGGAGAGAAGGGAGGGTGGGGGAGGGTGGAGATTCCAGGAGAGAGAAAGGGGCTGTAAAAACCGCATGAAAACAAGGGCTAGGGATTTCACACATCTGCTGGCAAAATCTGGCGGAAGTGACCTGTGGTCCAGCAAAACACCTGTAAATACCGCGCTAAAACAGGGGCTAGGGATTTCACACATCTGCTTCAAAATCTGGCGGAAGTGACCTGTGGTCCAGCAAAACACCTGTAAGTACCGCATGAAAACAAGGGCTAGGGATTTCACACATCTGCTGGCAAAATCTGGCGGAAGTGACCTGTGGTCCAGCAAAACACCTGTAAATACCGCATGAAAACAAGGGCGAGGGATTTCACATATCTGCTGGCAAAATCTGGCGGAAGTGACCTGTGGTCCAGCAAAACACCTGTAACTCAGATCCGAAAACCATAGATCGCAAGGGGTGGAGGCTGGGGCTGGGCTGGGGGCTGGTGTTGAGGGGTGGTGGGGCCGTGAATGGGCTGGGGTCGGGGGCTGGGGCTGGGGCTGGGTGAGGCTGGGCTGGGGCGGGGCTGGGGCTGGGGCCCGGGAATTAATTTTTTAAATTCTTTAAATTCTTTAAAAATTAATTCCGGAGTGGGCCGGGGCTGGGGCTGGGGCCCGGGATTTAAATTTTTTAAATTCTTTAAAATCTTTAAAGTCTTTAACATTTAATTCCGGCCTTTTTCATTTTTCATTTTTTGAATTTTTTAAAATTTTTTAAAAAAAAATTCGGGACGATTTAATTTTTAAAGAATTTAAGGAGTTTAAAAAACTTACTTCGTGCTGGGTTGGGGTGGGCCGGGGCTGGGGCTGGGGCCCGGGATTTAAATTTTTTAAAATCTTTAAAACCTTTAAAATTTAATTGGCCGGCCAATTATTTTTTAAGGATTCTTGAAATTTTAATGGCCTTAAAATCTTTATAATCCTTAAAATTTATATGGGCCAAGGTTTGGGCTTTGGAAAAGTTAGCAAACCATTAAATTTTTTAAAAATCTTTAAAACCTTTAAAATTTAATTGGCCGGCCAATTAATTTTTAAGGATTTTTAAAATTTTAATGGCCTTAAAATCTTTAAAATCCTTAAAATTTAAATGGGCCAAGGTTTGGGCTTTGGAAAAGTTAGCAAACCATTAAACTTTTAAAAATCTTTAAAACCTTAAAAAATTAATTAATTTGGCCGGCCAATTAATTTTTGAGGATTTTTAAAATTTTAATGGCCTTAAAATCTTTAAAATCCTTAAAATTTAAATGGGCCAAGGTTTGGGCTTTGGAAAAGTTAGCAAACCATTAAATTTTTAAAAATCTTTAAAATCTTTAAAATTTAATTGGCCGGCCAATTAATTTTTAAGGATTTTTAAAATTTTAATGGCCTTAAAATCTTTAAAATACTTTAAATTTAAATGGGCCAAGGTTTGGGCTTTGGAAAAGTTAGCAAACCATTAAATTTTTAAAAATCTTTAAAATCCTTAAAAATTTAATTGGCCGGCCAATTAATTTTTAAGGAAATTTTAAAATTTTAATGGCCTTAAAATCTTTAAAATCCTTAAAATTTAAATGGGCCAAGGTTTGGGCCGGCCAAATAATTTTTAAGGATTTTAAAGATTTTAAGGCCATTAAAATTTTAAAAATCCTTAAAAATTAATTGGCCGGCCAATTAAATTTTAAAGCTTTTAAAGATTTTTAAAAATTTAATGGTTTGCTAACTTTTCCAAAGCCCAAACCTTGGCCCATTTAAATTTTAAGGGTTTTAAAGATTTTAAGGCCATTAACATTTTAAAAATTTTTAAAATTTAATTGGCCGGCCAATTAATTTTTAAGGATTTTAAAGATTTTAAGGCCATTAAAATTTTAAAAATCCTTAAAAATTAATTGGCCGGTCAATTAAATTTTAAAGATTTTAAAGACTTTTAAAAATTTAATGGTTTGCTAACTTTCCCAAAGCCCAAACCTTGGCCCATTTAAATTTTAAGGATTTTAAAGATTTTAAGGCCATCAAAATTTTAAAAATCCTTGAAAATTAATTGGCCGGCCAATTAAATTTTAAAGATTTTAGAAGCCATTCAAATATTGAAAACCTTTAAAACTTGAAAGGCTAGATATTCGAATACGGATCTCTGTGGCAAAGATTATAACAACGAAGCCGAATGCCAAATAGAGCATAAAGGTCCTACGTACTAAGCCCTATTCCTGTCTCCTTAAGTGTCGCTGCCTTCTGCGAGGACGTGGAGCTTGGCCAAGGAGTCGCTGCCACGCTGCCTCCGCGGCCCGCAGCGAGCTGCTCCGCACATGGCCTCTGCGCAGAGGCACCGAAAGGTTTAGGGTTTCGGGTTAGGGGGACGGCAGGGCTTTCGGGCTTCGGAGTTTAGGGTTGAGGGGCTTGCGGATTCACAGTTTAGGGTTTGAGGTCTATAGGGTTTAGCGTTTGAGGTTGAGTGATAGTGTGTAGGGTTTAACATGGAGTGCCGAGGGGTGACGTGAGTGAGTCATGTGACGTGTGCACACCAGCAAACACGCATGAAGGCTGGCCTGACGTCCGGAGACTGTTGCCTCTCAACCTGCACTGAGCAAGCAGTTGGCAGTGGTTCGCCCTGATCCCCGCACTTCTCACTTCCTAACTGCCCGCGACCAGAAGCGATGCTCTTAGAGTCTTGCGACTGTTAGCTGTTAGCTTTACAAAGTGATGGGGTATTGCAGTTTGTCACAAGGACAAAGCGGAGGTTGACAGCTTTTGGCCGAGGTCCAACAGCAGGTGATGGCATCTATCTGAAGTGCTGCGATGCTCAAGCTGGCTCCCGGAGGCTTTCACCCCTACAAATGGGGAGAAAAGGTGTAACGCCACTCGCTTGCAACGCAACACTTTTTGACGCTGGCCCCTGTTCTCGCCTAAGCATAGAGTTGGTTGGGCTGGTCTAACATCAAGGATCGATGACACCACGCTACAGTGGTCACTTGTCTGCGTCAGCACCAGGAATAAGCCAGAACTGCCAAAAGGAGAGTCTTAGCTTCCCAGGTGTGCCGGTCGCATTCCTCAGATCTGGCCGAATCTCCAGGCACTTGGTTCGCTTTCAATGCGGAGTTGCTCTGGTCCGACCGTTCCTGGGCAGGACACTCCGGTGGGGTCATTGAGAATATTCCAAACCTGGTCGACGCAGTGGCATAGCGAAGGCATCTGCCTGCATTTCCTAAAGCCGGGGAGCTGCGCTTGTCCATGCACGGTCCTTTGCTTCTCACACTTGGCAGTGTCACTGAAACGTGAGTTGTAGGCCGACGTGCTGCCTGGACAGATCTTGTGGATTATGCGCCGCTTCGGAGCAATTCACTCCGTTGCGAAAAGTCGCGGCTTTCGACTATCTTGTCATGAGCCGGTGTTTTCCATACGCCTGGGGCTGCGACCTTTCACTCATGCACTTGGTCTCAGGAAAGCCTACGGCCGGGCTCTCAGCTGTTGAACCTGCGCCTTTTGGTGGTTGTGCGTGTCCTGGGCTAGTTGCTCATCTTGATGTGCCTTGGTTGTGCTGGCTAGGCATCAAGATTTTGGTTGGCACGCCGGTGACTTGCATCGAAGCGGATGACGACACTGCTTGGAGTTACTTGCCGAAAGTACAGGGATTGCAGGTTTGCTGCCTCAACCTCGCACAAGCCCGCAGCTGATCGTAGCTGGCCCGTCGGTTGGGAACTTCGGAAAGATATGCCGATCCGTGGAATGCCAATGAAGCTCCGGATGCCGTTGACCAGACAACATAAGCGGAATGCACGAGCTCTCGTCTAAGGTTGGACCAAGGAGTTGTTGAGCATGCTTGGCACGGAGCATGCTGCTCGGCTTGGGACCTCCGACCCCCAATGAATTGAAAACTCCGAAGACGTGGACTTGATCTGTTACTGAGCGATTGAAAGAGCTGCGACTTCTTTTTTCCACCCTGCTGCCTGCATGGAGATCATCGGCCGATGTAAAAGCATCGAGTGGTTCTCCAGGTGATGGGACTAGCCGTCGGGAATGAGCTCGAGCTTCTGTATAACAATGCTGCTCTGATGCAAAGGAGCCAGACATGCACTCAGGCACTGGCAGGGAGAGGAATATTGATCGAAGAAGCTTTTGCTTGTCCCGGCCTTTCTGCATGAGATGTCCCAGGCTGATTCAGAATGCATCCGACAGCTATGGTCGGGTGGCCGGCTGTGGAAAGCTTTCCAGTCGCGCGTGACAGAGTTCGCTCCTAGCCAGCATTCGAGATTAGACGGTCATGCGGTGCCCTGATTTGCTTGGCCTGATCCCCAGATTCCCCAGAAAGCAGCAAAACTGCAACTTGAAGAACAACCTTCCTCTCGAAGCTTGTACTCGCGAAGAAGCTGTGCCCAGCCTAGGACAACATGGGATTCTTGGTCGAATTCATCTTGTGTGAGACGTTGCGTGTCGGCGTCCAGTAATGTCACTATGGTTCATGCTCATGGACTGTGTGAATATCAAAGGTTTCTCGAGCATTCCAGTTCTAGCCTCAGTGACGATCGCCTTGAGCAGTGGCAGGGTCGTTCATGGTAGCCTGAGACTACAGCAGGTGACATCGGTCTTCACTGCCAGCGTGCTGACGAGCTCCTGGTCACAGATTCGGGGAGTTTCGGATTCATTGCAGACGCCCGCAAGTCACCACATAGACCACCGTGAGGCAGCGCAGTCGTGCCGTTCATGGAGAATCCTTCAAAAGCATTGGTGAACACCTTTCTCAGAAATGCCATCCGGAAGCAGCTTGCCTTCCAGTAAACGTCTGTGTCTTGGCTGTGCAACGGCGCTGCATCTAGCTGTGAGGTACGGCAAGCGCTATGCCTTCACCTTCAATGCACTTGGGTGTGTATTCAGATCTCGGGAATGTGTCTCAGCTCCAGCGAGTGATGTGACTGCGATTACTGGCCAGGTTTACCCATATTTCGATCCGAACATCCACTTGAATCCTGGCACGGTGGACAAATGTAATCTCGACCTGCCTCGTGTCATTTGCTGGGACAAGCCGACTTGCCTGGGTCCGAACATCATGGCGACTCGTCTGAAAGTAAACAGCAGGCAACATCCGACAACAAAAGACTTCCCGCCTTGAGGCTTCAGCCCGCAAGCAGATGCACTACCTCACCAATCGCTGGGACGACTTGCTCGGAGCTCGGTGCTGTTGTGGCAGCAGTGTGCATCGACAGCTGACAGGGTGTAGTGACAGTGTAGTGAGCGATACCCAATCGTCGGTTGATTGAGCAATGCCATCCTGATCGGCCCATCTCGTCTGCCTGAGGTTTTGGATTGGTGAAATCGGCTGGTCTTCGCCCAAGTCGAGTAACCTGGGCACAGCGGCTTGGCCAAACGAAAGTTGTCTTCCCAAGTTCGGCAATCAAAGCACCGTGGCAGGTTTGTCTTTCGGGCCATTTCAGGCTTGAGGTGTGAGTTTTGTTGGTTCTGTGCAACCAAGAAAATGGCCGACTGCCCACAGCCACTCGGCACAGACGTGGCGCCTGGAGGTTCCGTCATCACTGGACAGACACTTGTGCGTGTTACCATTAACATCCGTGTAGCTTCTCGACACCACGGGCGATGAAATCATGCCACTGCTGAGGTTTTCATCTCTGAACACCTTCCAGACATTCTATGAGCCTTGCATGCATTAAGATTCGCCTTTCGGCGCATCTTCTTTGCTGGCAAGAAAGCTCGCACATGCCGCAAACTCTGCAGTGCGACTGCAATGCGACGGTTTGCTCAGAACGGCTTCCTCGAGTGGGACCTAACACTGCCCGGCGGTGTCCCTGCTCCGGACCATGTGGCTGGCTCTGGAGTTAGCTGCTTCCAAGGCTAAAAAGGCTTACTTTCTTAGCCTGCCGCGGATTTTCAGAGTCTCAGATTTCCAGGACAACATTATGAGTTTTTCTCTGACAGGTGCCTGTCGAGGGGACACCAGTGTACGGCGGGTAATGCATGAGCCTGCAAGATTAATGGTGCCGTGCTTCAACGGTTATACATAATCGGAGCTTCTCGCGTCGAGACTGCTTCGACCAAGATCTTTTACTTCACGCTGCGCGATTCGCTGAACTTTGGGAAGCAGGTGCCGACAGCTGTCTTTTGATCGGCAAGCCTCATGCATGTCATGCCGACTTTTACTCGTACTTGTGTTGTTAATTTCGAGCCAGTCTTTTGGTGCATCGTTTTGTGGCCAGCTTGAGAGGAGCACTTCGGCCTGCTGACCTCGTGCTACTCGCTCGCCGGCGCAAGTGAGCAACTTTTTTCGCCAATTGCTGCGATGCCACGTAATGATCGACGTAATGTTGCTGCATATGCGCCCTTAAGTTTCTATCGGTTTTACCGCCCACAGGCTGAATTTCTCGTGTTGTCGCTGCCTTTGATGCTCCCCGTTTTTTGTATTAACCCTTTTTTCCCATGAACATCGGAGAGAAATGGTCCTCCCACAGTCAAAAACGCAATTCATCATCGACGCACCTTCCTCACGATCTCCCGTCTATCCTGTCTGTAGCATTTCTTTCGAGGCTCGGCTGCAAGATCGCCACTCCCGGCTTCCGGCCGCAGTCCTGCGCGCTGCCGGAACTGAAGAAGCCACCTTCCTGGCAGGCCGGAATGAAGAGACCCCCACAGGGTTTAGATTCCGAGGCCTACAGGTACAGGCATAGTGGCAGCTGCGGAGAATGTCTGAGCTGTCAGTGTAGACCATATGCCATATGCTGCATCGATGGCGAGAGATGACAACGTATCACGCTCCGAAAGCTGTACCATGCAGATCAACCGCGAGCTTCCTTGCGCCCCCGGCAGGTGTGGGGCTTTGCCATACTGGGTGTACTGATGCTTGGATAGCACAAAGCGATGCGTAGGGACCCCATCGAAGCGTCAGTTCAGCAGACAGGGCAGCTCCCAGGCTTGCGTTTTGCGTGGGCATCACATGCCTCTACGTGCGCTCACCGACCGTGCCCTCGCTGCAAAGTGTGATAGCTCCCTGTTGGACAGTTTTTGGACGCTTCAAAATAAGCTGAGGTGAAGCGATTCATACACGGAGATCCAAAGGAAAGCTCGAGGCGGCGGCTGCAGGCCATGGCTCCGTTAAGCTCGCTCCAGAGCCTACGGAACCACAGCCTTCGTGCAGGCCCCGCCCATCGCGGCCGAGGAAAGCGCCGGGGCTGCGTTTGGGATGTGTCCATTTTGCGGTGCTGTGTGCTTCCTGTGTGACTCTGAGGCGACTCCTCGTCGGAGTGAGACCCCCGTAGACTTTTGGGCGACAGCTTGTCCTGCCAAGCGGGCTGCTGGTTCCGTGAGGGCCAGGACACTGGCCTTTGCGAGTACCATATCGGGCGCTGCAAAGCGCACCCACAAGGCCAGACGCCTGGGTTCGCCCTGGCCTACAGAGGCCTATGCTATCCGTTATGCTTATATTTAAGTGCCACACGAGCACTCAAGTTCGGAGTCCTGGTGCCTCCTTTACGGAACCGTCTCTGGACTTTACATGCCAGACAAGGTCAGGTGAGGAAATCGTTTCTCTCACCATCTCTCATCTGTAGGTCGACGTCTCGCGGTCTCTTGACGATGCTTTTCAGTTGCATCCTCTTTCAGCCTTTGCATCTCTTAGCTCTGAGAGATCTGAGTTTATAGATGTAAGCCGCTACATAGTCCCTCCCAGAGCAGCCCGCCTCACTCCCGCTCCCTTCGCTCTCCGCCAAGTTGAAGCGATGGCCGTGTGGCCAGGAGGCCCTCGAGGCCGAGGCCGCGAAAGAAACCCCCTCTTATCCCATCTTTCTGGGAAGAGAGCTTTCGGCCTTCGGCGGTTTAGCAAGAGAGGTTCTGAAAAGAGGTTCAATGCAAAGCAAGGCAAAGGTAAAGAACGACCCTCACCAGATCCTGGTTGCTCGCGTGCATGCGATGAGGACTTCTGGCTTTTGCCATCGCGGCATGGTCTTCCATTCAGGCAGGGTTCCGAACGTCCTCCAGACAAAATTTGCGTCTGCAAAACTCGGAGGCGTCAGATTTTTGTCACGTTGGAGGATGTTGGAATCGGAAGGTCTATGCCGGGTTCACAAAAAGACGGCTTGGGAAGATCGCCGAAGCATCCGTACCTCCAGAAAGCAGAGGTCGCTAAGCGTCTGGGTCAAGACAGGCATTCGCAGCGGAGCACAAGGTGGTCAGTTTGAGCGAGGACAGGCACACCAGCTTGACCGTCTCGCACCAAACAACGCAAAAAACGCTCCGTGCCATGTGGTAGGATGCACACCCGATGTTGTAACCCTCATTGCCTGCTGTCTGCGGAATGCTGACATTCTGGATCTTGTAGTTGTTTTTGTCCATCTGCTCCAAACTGAAGTGGCCTCGTGACGAATTCTCGAAGCATCAGCTGCCCCCTCAGGCCTCCTCGAGGCATCCAACCGCCCAGGCCCCTAGGCCGTGCGGCAACATTCGCATTTGGATGCCTAATGCAGGAGACCTTCGCAAAGACGATCCAGCGAGGGCAGCGTGCGTTGGTAGCCTTCGTCACGCCCTGGCACCGCCCCAAGGGTACGGGGACTGAGAAGATGTGGGATAGTGGCATGTGCAGGCATCCTACTGGGTCCCAAGTAGTGTGAGGAAGTCTTGCCTGGCGTAGCGCCCAAGCTTGTCGTTCAGGTGCTTGGCCTGCCGGCTGTTGATGGCTGAGCTCGAGAAGCTGCACGAGGACTGCTCGTCCACCGTAATGCGGGGTTGCTTCCCAGACTCTTTCTAGTGGACGCTCAAGCTCTGTAGTCAGACTCAGTGTAAGACTCCAAGTGTCATCCCGGCGACTTTTTGCGTTTGTGCAGGCTTTGCAGCCTCAGGTTTTGGTGGCGCAGCGCTTCCCTCAGAAAATCCGCATGGGGACGTTCAGCCGCAGACATATGCAATTCAGCTTTCAGCTGGACAAGGTGCGATGTCTCAAAGGAGACCGGGCTTGCAAACCTCTACAGCGCTTGGCGAACACCGCTCGTCCAAGGCCCAGAGGATGCAGCTTGAGCTTGGCCAGGGTCATCTCAGAGCAACGTCGCCACTTCTCAGCTCTGAGGTGGTCCTCTTTCCGGACACGGAGGTTTTGCTGCCTGGTCTGCAGGTGATCCCAGAAGTCATGTCTCAGCCGCTGCCACACCGCGCTGTGTCGCAGTCTGCACAGGGGGTCGCGAAGTCTGGAGTTTTGTCCCTTTTCCACGTGGTGCTGGTAGGTGATCTACGCTGGTCAGATGCACTACTCGTCACTGCTGAGCTTTGTGAATGCAGGGCTGGGACCCCAGGCACACCTGAGTCTAGCTACGATCGGCCAAAGCATCCACCAGGCCGTGGCCCCCACAGCTACGATCACCTGCAGACCTCGAGGAGGCTCGACAGGGTGCCGGAGCAGTGGGGAACAAAAAGCATGTTGGGGGTCGAAGACTGCGAACCTTGGCACTGCGAAGGTGGTCCGGGAGAGCGGTCGTGCAGGAACCTTCGCCATGGCCTTGGTGTGGGAGTGCAATGTAGTGTACTAGATTACTAGATTCATTGACGTGCATGAGAACCCACCCAGCGCCCGGCTCCTGCCTCTGCTCAGGTCGGGTTCTTTCGCTCACCGGAAGCCGCTGGGCACTTGCAGGTCGGCTGCTTCCTCTGTGGATTCAAGCCATTCTCTATGACTTTATGGGCTGGGAACCCACTATTGTTCTGGAGGACTTGTGGCCTCTGGACTGCCTTCGGCGCCACAATCGTGCCTTCACCTTTGCCAGGCAGATTCCCGAACAGACGAAGATCCTGAAACGACGCTACTTACCACGTGTGTTCCCGTGTCTGCTAGAAGGGTTTGCACAGCAAGCGCCTTGCATGCAGTCGTATCTGACGGTGATAGTACCTGTTGCTTCAGCCACACCATTTGGAGGTGGGCGAATGAGACGGACCGAAACACATCGAGAGGAGAAGAGGCAGATTCGCCAAAGCTTCGTTCTTTTGTGAAGCTGTGTGCTGTGCAAGGAGCTTTGGCGCTGGGCGGGACTGGGTGCCCGAAAGGACCGTGTGCAGGGAAGATTCGAAGCCCAGCAACCAGGCTTGTCAGCTGCATATGGTGCAGCTGTTGCCAGGCGCTACGAATCAAGGAGGTTCAGGAGGGACAGCTGCTGAAGCAGGACACGGAATGTAGGAAGAGAGCATCTGCATCTGCAGAACTTCGGCGCACAGATACAACGTCTTGCGCTGCTTCAGATGCCTTCTGGCTACAGGGACGTAGGGCATGGCGGTGAGGGGAGTGTGACAAGAACGGCATTTGCTCTCGCAAAGAGGCGTTTCGAGAGTCCTTGGATGTTCAACCGGCTTGGATGGGCGCGACACTCTGCGAGCATGCAGGAGATCGAATTGGACTCGAACACCGGGTCTGCAGACCTGTCGTTTGATGCTTAGTCTGTGCTTCATCGGTGCTGCTGGAGGGTCAGCCAAGCCTGGTGATGTACGCTTGGACCCAGTGATGGAAGCCAAGGCCTGTGGAAGCTGTCGTATATGTCCGAGCAGACGAGGATGCGTGCCAGTTTGTCGGAAACCCAGGATGCTGAGAAGGAGAGTAGTGTCTGGCATTAAGCAGTGATCCGAGCGAAGATGAAGGCATTGCTTGCATCTGAGAGGCACCCTCCGACAAATATGTCATGTACCAGGCACGGTTTGCCGGAGGCCACCCGGCTCCAGACGTTGTGCCTCGGACTAGAGTGCAGGAAGGCGGCTCTTCTTCGTCTTCAGCGAGGCTTCGAAGCGCAGATCAGCCTTGATGCCGACTGCGGCCCACTATGCGGTCGTCACAGCAGTGTCCTTGAAAAAGGGAGAGACAGCCAGTGTCAGACAGGATCACACCCTCAAGCTGGAGGGAACGAGCCCCTTGGAGCCAAATTCATGCCGAGCAGGTGCAGGCATATGATGCATGTGCTGGCGGCTCATGCTAGTGGGGATTTTTTGGGCTGGTTGAAGCCCGTCGGCCTCAGGTAGATGCTTTCTGCGCTTGGTGCGAGCGCCAAGCTGGGGGCCTGGCATGGCCTGGCCCTGTTGGCCGGGACGGGCTTGGCATCATTGTACACCCGTGGAAGCACCAAGCAAACCTCTAAAAAAAACCCTTCATTGAAAACAGTCTCAGACCATCTGGGCTATTCTGAAAGCATTCGAAGCCCTGCAGAAGCCGAGCCGACAGCAGAGAAGGTGCTGGGCCCTGTCGCCGTGTTCGATGCGCCGCGCGCCGCGGCGCTGGATGGCCTGGTCCTCAGACCAGCGCAGAGACTCCACTATTGCGAGCCTGTGGAACAATCAGTTGGGAATGGGAGTTGCCAGTATGGGGTAAGCTAGTTTGTGGTGATGGTGGTGAATCCCTCTGTCCTGTTCCGGGCCCAATGCCTCAGTCTAACAGGCTTTCCGACTGACACATGTGGCAGGAGGAAAAGACGCGCAAAAAAAAGACCAGCACAGAGCCAGTTGGAGACCCTTGTTGCGGGCGACTCAGGAACTTTTGATTGGCTCCTACTCCTCTTCGCACCGAAGGATGTCACCGAGGACAGATTCACAGCCGGTCAGAGATGCAGTTGCACAGATTCGGCTTAGTAGGCTTGGGTTGGAGTCTCTCTCGATGTCACGAGGACCAGGAGGGCGAGGCCCAGAGTGATTTGTGCCGCCATGCACAACGCTCACGGATGAGTTCTCCACACTGCGTAAGATCCGGCAATCCTCTACTCCATTGTTTTTGAAACCAATCTCTGCATCGCTTACTGCCCCGGATGCCCGCTGCTGTTGTGACAGTCTGCCTTCCTCCGCGAGCGAAGACGCCTCGAACGCTTTACTTCAGCGGCCTGCGCGAAGGACGCTCTGCAAGCATGGGTCAAGACTTCTTCTCCGGAAAGGGACTCCAGCGGGAGAGAATGATTGACAGTTGCAAGTACTCGTACCGTCTAGCCCAGTTGTCAAGCTTAGGAGACTTTGTCAGTTTCCCCGTTAATTGCACATCCAACTGCCGCTGTCAAAATAGGACCGGCGATATGGAGAGGCAGGAAGCAGCATGAACCAACACTGTTGTGCCTGCTTTGTCTTGAGTGTTGGCTGCTGCACAGGTTCTGCCCGTGATTGTCCCATGGGGTGGTGAGGACCGGCGCAGCACTACGGCTAAGCTGGTCCATCATCACCAATCTGAAAGAGTCGTGGAGGTTTTTTTGTTGCATTGCCAAGCAGCAGATTTCAAAACTGAGAGCCTTTGTCAACGTGCATTGCGAAAGTCTCCTTTCCCACAGCCATCTCCAGAATTCGTTGTCTCTGCATGTGGGATATAAGCCGCCCACTTTCGGGTCTCGTTGTCCGGCGCAACTTTGGGCAGACTTGAATGTGGCAAGCTGATGCTGCACTGCCGCATAGCGCCTTTCAGCGCCGTGCTCATGGGTATCCTGCAGCCATCAGCAGCTGCCGCCGCGGGGCCCAATGGCAGCAGGCCTTCCATCTCCTCCAGGACAGGAGTGCTTGAATCAAGCGTTGAGGATCTTGCAGCATGTGCGAGCTTCGGAACAGCGCTAGACTTGTGCTCGGAGACGACGAGCTACACGTAGATCATGTAGGAGGCTGAAAACGTCTCCGCCAAGCTCTCCGTCTTCTCCTACACAGCCGCCATGAGTGTCTGCGAGAGGGCAGGCCAGTGGCAGAAAGGTTTGCAGATCCTTCAGCAGATGAAAGCTGCGAAGATTCAAGCAGATGTAGTCGTGTACAACGCCGCCATGAGCACCTGTGGACATGCTGGCCAGTGGGAGTGGTCAATGGCTCTTTTCAAGGAGCTTCAAGAGGAGGCTCTGCAGAGCAATGTGATCAGCTGCAACTCAGTGATCAGCGCTTGTGAAAGGGCTGGCAATTGGACGGCGGCTTTGGGGTCTTTTGAAGACTTGATTCTATCTCGGCTGCAAGCAGATGCCATCTCTTACAATTCGATGATCACAGCTCTTGCCGCCGCCTGCAGATGGGAGCACGCCATGCAAATGCAACTTGTTTGCAGAGTCTCTTGACGCACGACACTGGCCTTGGTCTCTCCTCTCGTCTGTGTTTGAAACCTCACCTGAGCTTTGCGTGTGTCTTCCTCTAGGGTAGAGCTGCAGATGCTCGTAGGCAGGCAGGGGAGGCCGGATGTTGTGGGGTTTGAGGGTTTCTGGGGTTGGGAATCTGTTGCTGCCCCAAGCACGAACATAGGTGTTGAAACATTCGTTTTAGAACCAGCAGTTCCAGCATTGCAGCTTTACTCTGTTACACTCGCTTTGACTTTCGCAAGCTGGTTGCTTAGGGCTTAACCTTTAGATAATAAGGCCTCTTCAAGGAAATATAGCACCCTGCCCCCCTCCCCCTTACCCCCCAGGGGTCCCAAGCTTGGGCGCCTTGGTGTTTGGCCTTAGTTCGGAACCTTCAGGTTCATCCACTACTGTAGCACATTTGGGAGCCTTAAGGGCGCCAGCATAGAATAGCATAGTCAAGTAAGTCTAGTAATTACAGGGTCGCGCAGATACCTAAACCAGGATGAGTAGCAGCTTCTGAGAGCTTGACGGCATCATAGGATGTTGGACTCGCAAGAAAGGCTTGCATACACTTTAAGCAGGCTCATTCTTGAAGCGTCCCAAGTTCAGTCTCGTTCAGGAGCCCGACTCCCCATTCGGAGCAAAGTCTCGTAACGGCTTAAGAGGCTCGATTTTTATGACTCTGTGCAGTTGCGCAGTGTGTGAGGGCTGTCTGTGTGCATGACACGGGCCAGCACTCCAGTGCCTTGCAATCGCAAGGGTGTTCGCACCCATAGGCAGTCAATCAATCAATCAATCAATCAATCGACAGCAAAGCTCAACATCTTCAAGTCTCAACTTTCTGTTTGCTACAAAGTTGCGAGCTCCAACAGTCCTATGCCTCGAAACTAAAAGATTCAAGAACGAGCAACATGTGCGTTGCAGGTTTGACGATCTGCAAAGTGGTCGAGTTCGAGCAACAGTGGTCACATGCAGTGCGGCCATGGCAGCCTGCGAAATGGCAGGCTGCTGGGAGGAGGCCCTCCAGCTCTTCGATTTTCTCTTAAAGGAAAGTGTGCAGGCGAATCAGATCCTCGGCTTGCATCTTCAGTGACGGGGCAGTGTCCGTGTGACCCGGGACTATTCCGGATTCGGTGTCAACGCCGAAGCGTGACCCCAGGATCAGCTACAACTCTGCGATCAGTGTCTGTGAGACATGTGGGGCGTGGCATCATGCAATGCTACTGGCGACGGAGATGGGCAGCTGTGCTGTGGGATGCGATCAGATCACCTACAATTCTGTTGCAGGGCAGTTTCATGCGGTAGGCCCCAACCAGACCGACATCAAGACTTACATCCTCGTAAAGTAGGCGCAAACCAAGACGAGACACAACCTTTTGCCCACCTGGAGACACTTGCAGCACCCTCAGCACGGTCCTAGGCTCTCAGCGCTGCTCCGTGGCATCAGGCTGCCTCACTACTGTCTGAAGCTGCTGGACGGAGCCTGCGGGCCAGTGTCCCTTGCAACGGAAAGGCTGAGAAGGTTTTCTTGTGTGCAGAGAGGTTGTAAGACTGACAGCCGGAATTTAACATCTCGCCCTGCGTGAGGTGATTACGCTCAATGCATCTATCGATGTTTGTGGCGCGGCAGCGCAGTGGCAGCAGGCGCTTCGCTTGCTCGACTCGCCTGCTGGCCATGTTTTGGACCTGATCACCTATAATTCCACAGTGAGTGCAATGAGCAGTGTCAGTTGGGCATCGTCCTGTCTCCTGCTAGCTGCAATGCAGCTGCAAATGCAAAGCGACATCGTCGGTTACACATCCACCATTAGTTCCTGCGAGGAGGCCAGTCTCTGGTGCCAGGCCGCTTTCCTACTTGATGACATGGCGAAACAGAAGACAAGGGTGGACAGTCTGTCAGTCAGCCTGGTCGTTGGCGCCTTTGAGAAAGGCGCCAGCTGGCAGCAAACTCTATCTTTCCTGCACGATCAACGGACACAGCTTGTGGCCGTGAATATCCTCACCTACAACCTTGTCATGGCGACCTGTCTTGATGCTTCGGAGTGGCAACGTGTGCTGGCATTGTTTCGGACACTCAGGGGTGAGACCGTCCGCGCGAATGCGATCACATACAGCTTCTGTGTCGAGGCATGTGACAATGGAGGGCACCTGAAGGGCCAGGGCTCTCCGGTGTTCTCCCGCGACCTTCACTCTGCAGGCTTTGAGGCTATGCGGGAGCTGCAGAAGAAATGGCAACAATCTTGCAGCATTGCAGCTTGCACTTCATCAAGGGACGTGTGTTTTCTTGAGAGAACTCCTGAAGTCGCTGTGAAAGTTTTTTCAGGACATTCTGGCTTTTCGGGCCTCTTTCGGCCTCGGACCGCAGGCCAGGGCCTTACTCGTAGGGTCTTCTATACCGCGGCAGCCTGCCCGGCCGCCTGCGGCATGCTTGGGGCTGTCTCGTGAAACCAGGACCCTGCTCTTCCACTACCGCGGCAGGGAGAAGGCTCGAGCATCTGCAGTATCGCAGTAGGAGCCATAATCACACAGCTCCACAGGGCACGCCCATCTTTCCTTCTGCAGCATCTGTCATTTCAATGCAACACATCCTTCCAAGCTGACGCACTGGTTGACATGCCTGCAAGGCGGAGACTTGAGGCGCGTGGTGCGCTTGTATCTGTGTTCTACATCAGAATTCTCCAGGATTCGTATTGCTTGGTTTCTATAGGATTTGCAGCCTGCCAATGTACATGTTCTTCTTTGTGGCAGACTGGTAGCATGAGATTTGGAGAGGCCAAGCAGGCTTTGGATTAAAGTTGGATCATGCTACGTACTCACATCGCTAGTCGCGCTTCGTCTGCTGCAAGTTGAAGTTGTCAGCTGGCGATTGCATGGCATCGTCGGTGCCGTCATATCCCAGTTCTAGTCCTTGTTCCTACGAACCCCTTCCAAAAGCACTGCGCGACAGGACAGGTTGCCGTGCGCTGCAAGACGCCGACACCGAGGACACCGAGGTAAGTGCCCGGGATTGGCGTGCTATGTCAGAGAACGCCTTGTACAAAATGTTAAATCTCGCATGAAACCCCGAGATAATGATGCTGCTGCTGATACAAAAAGCCAGCAAGAAGACAGCACGGTGAAGGCGATGAACATGAGTTTCAACGGTCAGCTTGTCATCATTTTCGTCATCGTCGTCACCATCATCGTCATCAGCGTCGTCATCATAAGCATCACCACCATAACCGCCATCAGCACCTTCAGCACGATCAGCACCATCACCACCGTCACGATCATAGTGTTGGTACGCGGGGGGGCTTGCAATCTTCTCTAGAATCCATGGTGCAACAGGGTGGATAGCCAGCAAGAGCAGCAGATACATGTACACGTGTGTGCATCCATGTATATATAGGTGGATGAAGGCACACAGTCCGACATGCCTGTTCTCACAGATGCCTGCCTTCGTGTACGAAAGGTCATCTAATCAGTACCTCGTTTGTCTCTAGAGGTGTAGACAATCAGTGAACAGCTCATTAGGAATATACAGATAGCCTAATCAAAAAGCACACATGCAAACGATCGTGAAGAGTATCAGTGTATGCTTAGTTGAGTTGGTTAAGTCTACAGCCGTATACAGGTACATAAAGAAGCACATATACGTCCATCTATGCATCCATGCATCCAAGCGTTGGTGCATACATCCATCTATCATATCCATCCATCTGTGCATTCACGCAGATAGGTAGGTGCCTAGGCAGGCAGGCGGGCTGGCTGGCTGTCAGCTAGACAGGTAGGTAGGTGGCTAAATAGCTAGACAGAGTTAAAGCAGGCGACAATGCAAGATCTTCTGAGGCTGCGTTTCGATTACAATTCGTATGTATATCCTACAACCCTAAAACCCCCCTCATTACCAAGCTCAAAGCCACATACCCGAGCATACAGAAGCCCTGAAGCTCCAACCACCCCCGAAGTCCCAAGATCCCTAAACCCGTAACCGTGACCCCATGCTCGCTTGCCGAGCCTGGCCGTCGACGGCGGCTGGTCCTCTTTGCCACCTCGCTCTTCAACACGCGCACGCGAAGGAAGACACGGGGGGTTGAGTTCTGCGAGCTTCCTTGCAGATCGCTTTCTGTTCGATATCCGGGAGGTTTTCGTCGATGACTTAAAGCTCGGACGAAGTCTTGCTTCCAGTAAACCCATATGCTCATTACCACATCTCTCGAGGAGAAGCCACCGTTCCCCGCAGCACCTTTGAAGTCATATTTTGCACAGGAAATATCCAGCTCCTGGTGGCGCAGGCCATATAGTCTTGTGGCTCGCAATTCCTGTCAATTAGTTCTCTTGGCTGAGTCGAGATGCACTGTGTTGGTTTGGGTAGTTTGCCTGAGATCTGCAAGGAGCCCGTGTTGCTCCGTGCTGTGGCAGCAAAGTCTATATATGTGTTCGGATTGCATAGAAGAGTGTGCAGGGAAATCCGACACTTCTTTGGCGCTCGGACCTATCGTCCACTTCCCAGCCGTGCCTTGCAGGTTGGTGCCCGGGCGATGAGCTCGCCCTTTGCCTCTTCACGGATGCTGTCCTGGACTGCTAAGCGTTTTCCACTGCCCGATTACACCTTGCATTGACTCGTTGATTGCCTTGCAGAGGACGGGAAGGTTTTGCCTCAGATTCGCTCCACGAAGAGGCCGTGAAGTTCCTGCTGCTGGTGTGCAGAGAGATGGACGTTGGCAGATTCAGGTTTCCAGAGCCTGATGTCGCTTCGCCAGGGGTGCGGACCTCAGTCGTCCACGCGGCAAGGTAATATCATCATTGTTGGTTTGCGAGAGAAGGCTGTGAGAGCCTACTTCAATCTAAGCTTAAGACTCGTCTAAACCCGAGACCATCATGGTCCGTTTTGTTCTCTGATTTCTGAAAGGTCAAGGAGCTCTTCGGCTCCTCCGTGGAGGTGGAGCTGCTCCAAGCCGTGGCGCAGCGCCGAGCCGAGGCCCGGGGAGTTCAGCGGCCCGAGCCAAGCAGCCAAGCAGCCCAAAGCAAAGTAGTGTCTACTTCTAGGTGATTCTAGATTCTGGAGGCTGCTTAGCTACTTAAGTGGCATGGGTGTGGTCTAAAGAACGGCTGCTTTCGGAGGTGCTACTGCTCGTTTATGCACCCTTCTGCAGTCATTCGTCGCAGACTCAGACGCTGATGCTAATTGCAAGGGCTGTTGTCATGGCCACGCCCAGATCCGAGGCTACATTTTTTCGCACTTTGGCGACAAGTCACCGATGCGATGCATGCGATGACAGGCTCATTGCCCACATTGCATGCTTTACTACCTCGTATAGGTAGGGAGGGTTGCCGGCCTCAGCACTTGCACTGCTTTCGAGAGGTCCGTCCCTCAATGCCTCTGCGCCGGCCGGGTGCCTGGCAACAAACATGGCTGTCATGTCTTGCATTCGAACCCCGTTTCTTTATCAGTTGTGCTCAGGTCCTTCAGATGGCGCAGATGGACGGTATGCAGAACGAGTCGTCCCAGCCTATTCCGATGATGCGAGGGATGGCACGAGCTTTTCCAGCACCGGGGGGGCTTTGTGACTGGGGACGGTGGTGGCAGCTCTTGCACCCTTCGCGGCAGGCATCCGGCTCTACCGCCCATTCGGCAGCTGCGGCCTTAATTGCGCAAACCTGATCAATGGGGCAAGCCATGCAAGCCTTGTGGCCTTCACAAAACCAGGTTCCCAACCTTGCTTCTATGCCTTCCAAAGGCAGGGCGGTTGGGTTGGATTGCACTTCTCGACCGCCTCCCCACGAGCATCATGTAGCTTGGGGTGAGAAGTCACCGAAACCGAGACACTGTAGCTGCGCAGAAGGCTTTAATGGAAAGCCTCTGCTGACAAAGTTGGCACTAGGATCGCGAGACTCACGTCGGCAGTAGCCCTGCTCGCTAACAGGAGGCTGGCGCAGCGGACGCACTCAGCCTGCCACTGAGCATGGCATACTGTCTGGGTAGCGATGTCTTCTAGTCTACACGAAGTCTTCTGCTAACGACGCAGACCATTTGGACTTTGTAGCCGGTTGCCAGACGGTTGAGTGTTTCTCGTGCAGAGCATGATCTCGGACACTTTTGCGCGGGGGTTGCAGCTGAGTGATGAGGCCTCGAACTTTTTGTGAGGGCCAGTGTGCAGGAGCGGCCACTCTGGACTTGTGGCATCCAACTTCTCTTGACTTCGTCTCAGACTTGATGCGTGCAGCTGCTGTTGTGAAAGCCTTGTAAGGTTCAGATGTAGTCTTCAAGCAGTACCATGGCCCTGGAAACTTGGCAGCCCTGCGCTCATTCGGACATTCATTTCAGGACTCTGTTTCTTTTCTCCCGCCTCTTAAGGCCATTCTGTCCTGGATCTCCAGAAGCTCGGTGGAAGCCCCGGCATGCGTCCGTGATCCTAAAACCACAATCGCAAATATAATACTCAACACCAGACTCGGCAATATAACGAAGCCATCAGTTAAAAATGCGAGCTCCTTCTCCCTGAACCCTCAACCTGCAACCCTTCGCAAAGCCCTAAGATCGACGCCCTAGAAACCCTTTAGGGATTTTTTTGAGTCCGAAAAGCTCAGGCTGTGGCTCCGCGTGTGGTTGGGGCCGCTTGGACATGAGCGGCGACCACCTGGAACTTCGGGGTTCGGGCTTATGATTTCGGAAATTTAGGGGTTAGGGCTTTCGGCTTTTGGAGTTTTAGGGTTTAGGGTTGTTCGGGTTTGGGGGCTCTGTTCTTATTTCTCTGTAAACTCTAGCAGAATCCCCATGGACTTCTGCCATGCTGAGGTTGAAGGTCTCAGCTGAATCGCGGCACAGGGTCTTCTCCTTGTACGTGCTGACAGCTTAGCTCCCTCTGACCGGGAGAACCGGAACCGTTGTGACTACTTAGTTTCATTCCGGATCCAGTCACTGAATTCGGCGGCTCCAGGAGCCAGACAGGCTCTCTGATGTCAAGTGAAGCTATCAGAATGTGCTAGCAGGTGCACCCTAGTCAGAGGCCTGGTCAGGACCATTTCCCCCGAGGCTTTCCGCGAATGCGCTTCGTTTCCATGTTTCTGCCATGGAGAAGCACCCCGAGCCGCAGAACGACAGTAACAGTTGTACCGACAACAACAATGATCAACTAGTAGTGTTGTCAGTGCTTTTATTGTCAGTCTGAGTGCTCTTCGTGTTATCTCTACCTCTTGCACCATCTATGTTTGTAATTACCCTCACATGGATGCTGTTGCCACTAGTCTTGGTCTTCCTATTACTGGTGCTATTGCTATTCTGGTTTTTGTCGGTCGTTTCAATGTTATTGCCCTTGGAATGATTGCCATTCGTGACATCCTCGTCACTGCTACCAGCAATGTTGTTGCAGTTTGATTGTCAGTAGGACCGATATGTTCATGACTAGAGTGGCCATTACGCAATGTGTTGCTATTGCCGTGCTTATAATCACTGTCATCTGTTGTTGTCATGACCATCCGCTAACTTCAGGACAACAAGGCATCCGGCAAGTGCGTGAATCAACGTTTCTTGGGGCAGTTCCTTGGCGGGCCGTCTCTCGCTCAATACCGCAGCGACAAGAAAAGCTCGGGGGATTGCCTGACTGCAGTTTTCTGTAGCCCCACAAGTCTTGGGTGAGGCTGCGCCTCTCTGTACTCTTCACTTCGCCATTTATGGGGCACTTTCGTCGCTCCCCTGTTTGGAAGGTCTCGATGCTTGGACCCAGACGTGCTGATGGCTTGACTCTGGCTCCAGCCTTCCAGGCACCGGTGCTGGTGGCTTGAAGAGGCTTTCGGAAGCGTACTTGTATCACTAATTCCTGTGTAAAGGCTGTAACGTTGGGCACAGTGCTTCAGAACGGCTTTGAAGATGGCAGTGTGGCCTTGAGCGAAGCCATTGTAGACGTTTCAGTCACCTTCTCAGGAGACGGCGATACCAAGCCTGAAAAGAGAGTTTGAACTGCTGTCTATCGGTATACAAGAGAGCCTGAGCCGAATGCGAAGTGGAACTGGAGCTGACGCCTGCAGGACCACTTGGTGGAGAGCTTGAGCAACTCGGAGCTCATTCCTCTTCTGGTGCCTCCGCCGAAGCAGCATTTTCGGAGTCGTTTGTGACAAGGGTTGGTGACTGCTTTGGCTATGTGCCCGCTCGCCAGCAGCCCCATAGACTGGCACGGCCGCGCAGATTGGCCACCAGCCGACAGCCACTGCAACGACAAGACCTGCCAGTAATGTAATGTAGCGTAGTAGTGTGAGATGCTGCCAGGCAGGCCGTAAGCAAATTGAAGTCATGACTGAAGCCATGGCCTACGATGATGCAACCTCGCCTTCAGGCAAGAATGTTGAAGCTCCCGTGACTCTACAAAATCCACTCTTTGATAACTTCCGACTTCGTGAGGCCGTGACCGACGGCTAGTCCTGCAGCGCAGGATGCAGAGGCCAGCCTAAACCGCAGAACACCGGACTTCTGGGTCGCGCAGCAGCCGTGTGCAGGGCGATGACACAGCTTTCGCCACAAGTCAAAGGCATCCAGTCCAAGCCTTAGTTGAGCGTGAAAGTTTGGGCAGAAGCCTTTTCTGAAAGCTGCAAGCGCCACAGGCGCCACTACGGCGGAGACTTCGCCTTTGTTGGCGCAGCGTACGTCCTACGAGTACACAAAGGCCGCATGGCCAAGCCATGAGCAAAGGATTTTCACGGTGGCTTCCCTCCCATCTCGCAGGAGCTGGTCCACTGCAGTGGCTGCTGGAGCCTTAGGCCTTAGAGTCCCTGCCCTGAGCGGGCGCCCGTCCACGAGCACTGGAGTCCTTCCAGCTCAGACCTGCCTTGATGAGGAACACCCTGACGCAAAGGCTCCGGGGGGACAATCGCGCGTGCCTTTTTTTCAGAGTCATTGACCTGGATCTCGAGCTTGCAGATGCGACGTGCTTCTGTCCGTGATGCGTTGAGCTTCTACACAAGTGGTAAACCTGGTCAGAACGGCTGCAATTCAGAGACCAGCTTGCCCGCTGCTGCGGGTCACTTCCAAAAAGACCCCCATCTCGCCCCGTGAGCATCCTCTCGCATGAAAACACCTGCGCCTATGGAGCGATGTCCGTGCCTGGCCATAGCGCTGCCGCACCCCATCCGGCAACCACAGCAGATGGAGGCCTGTGGTGGGTGGCATCGCCCTGGACCCAAGATTTTGTTGATAAAGTTGGATTGCACTCAGATGCACCGCAATGGCTGGTTGACTCTGCTCGCGGATCCGCGGCAGCCCGCAGAGGCCAGATTTTCCGCTTTCCAGCTTCACTTCATTCTGGGAGATACCTTCAGACCCCACAACTAGGAATGAACATTTTCTCACAACAGGGGAAAGTCATGCCAATTGCATGCCTGCGCAGCGCACCCTAAAACCACTCGACCACTCTGAACACGAGCTTGAGCAAAGGAGAGCCAGCTTCGTTGTATTTTTATTTCCGCATGCCGAAACCACTAAACATGCTTCGGGAAAACCGTAAAAGGGGAGCCTGTTCCCGCTCCGGATACCGAACGACGACCCGAAATGCGTATAAGACAGCCTGAAACACCTGCATCCAAAGAAGTTGTTGACAGCCCTGACACTAGACCGGAGCCATCGGGAGTGAGATTTCCCATGATCGAGAATCCCACATTGTCTGTATGTCGTCGACGACGAACAAGGCTTTCGGCAAAGCACGGCACGCTGGCCTGGATTGCGTTCTGTACTCCTTCCGTGCCTGCACAGGCCTAACAGCAAGGGCAGCAGTTGCTAAGTCTGGAAAGACTTTGTGACAAAGCCAGATACTACTTCTTCGCAGCCTTACTCGTCAAGTCTTTGCGCAGCCGTCGCCACGAGTCGAAATCTGCAAACAGAGGAGAAGCAGGAATGGAAAAGGCGTTTTTTCGAAGGAAAGTCTAGGCTGCTTGTGCTGAGTGTGCTGTTGTCCATGCTTCCGCTGTCAGTTGCCAGGAAAGCTTGCGCGAAGCTCCTCCAGCCGGTTTCTGGCCGTATTGAGCCACTATCTGGAGCTCCACTTCGGCCATCCCGCGCTGTTAACCAAGGGCCGGCGGCAGGACTCAAGTTGGGTTGAGAGTTCTTTGTAAGGGCAGAGGGCAGAAGAAGATGGCTGTCGCGCTGCAGGAAGCCTTCAACGTTGCCGGAAATGCAGGGGCGCAGTCCCGCTTCTTGCCTTGGCTGAAGTGGACGGGGTAGACCTGCATGGTCTTGCTTGCAAAGCTAGGTCGGACGACGACTTTTCGAGGTAAGTTTACAGACACCTTCCGGATGCAGCATGCTCAGGTTCGCAGTCAACTCTGGAGGAACTGCATCCGTGTGGTGTCGGGCAAGGGACATATCCGGCTTGAGTCTGCTACTGCTTGTACACAGTGACATTCAGACGCTCATTGAGCTGTTTCGTTTTTTGTTTCTGCAGGTATGTCCTTGGAGTTTTGCCACAGTGACAGGACATGCTGGAGGAGGACGAGGAAGGGCCAGCGAGAAGCGATTCATATACTCGCATTGTCCTGGCTGTCGCACCTCAGCTTGCTTAAGGCTTGCGGCTCATGGTTCTGCATCACTTTTTCAGCACCTCGGAAAGCCCCTACCCATTCTTTACTGCCTTCGCCAAATGTGTTCTGCAGCTTCGTGCTCGATCTGAGTCGGGGCCTTGAGCCCTTATTTGACTGAAGATCACTTCCTTTGCCGCCGAATGGCAGCGGCCTGCTGTGAGAGAAGTTGCAGAGTCGAGATTCTGAGCTTCTCAGCCCGCGCTTTTTGCCCCTCTCTGCGCTCCCCGAGTTCTTTGTTAGTCCCGCTCTCCCTCTTTCCCTCCTTTCTCTTCCTTGCAACAAGACAGAGGTGATCCGTTCCCATGGCTCCTGGGTTCAGGATGGCTTCGAGTGAGGATGTAGGGCTTGTGGGGCGTTTTTACTCCACAAGGAAGAAGCAACTTGAAAAGCAGCTGTTTTTCAGCTGGAACGGGGCGGCAGCTGCAGGACATTGCTGCCCGCGGTGCTGTTTTGGGGTGACGTTTGTGCCGCCCAGGGCAGCTTCCTGACATCCTCGGACATCCTGGCAGTGCAGCAGAGCAGTGGCTTCAAGATGGAGCGCTTTCGAGACCTGTGAGTCACGACCACATTGATTCAATTCGGTGCCAACATTTTGGAGTCAAAGTCTTCATGGCAACTGTAGGATGTGGAATGTCGCGTTGCGTGTATGTCCGTATGTCAGTCAAAATGCCTCCGGCTTTGTCTTGCTTTTTGTCATCTTTGTTTCGAAGACTTCGGGCTTACAGACTGGTTATTTGGCGCCTGGGCCTAGGCCTTGTGCCAGCTGCAGGGTTCACGTCTTGGCTTCTCTGCACCTGCTACTTCTGACCTCTTGCGGGGGTTGCAGCTAACTTACTAATACTAGCAGTTGCACCAGAGTGCAAGTCCGAGCCGGCAACAGACGGGATGCAAAGCCTGGTGACGGTGATGGCCCCGCAGTAAGAAGGCAGATATCTCAACTCCTGGACACTGTGTTGTGTTTTCAAGCCTCGCAGGTGGCTTCCATAAATTAGTGAGACGACCGGACAACGCCCCCGTGACGATGTGTCAAAGACACCATGTTCTGCGAAAAGCGATTCAGCCCACGACCGAAGATCAGGAGCTCCCTACCAAGTCCTGGGTGACTGGACCTTGAGAGTCACCGGCTTGCATAGCCGCCAAGAAAGAAAGTGTGCACGACGACGGCCTCAGAAAGGAGGAAAAAGCAGGAAACATGGACGATGGTGAATTGGTCAGTTGGTGTTATCGTGGCTCTGCGAACTGTTGTCCTCAACGGACATAGTTGTTTCCTCTGCATAGGTTGAGCAGCTTGCCAAGACGGGTTTCGAGAGTGGGTGATTTTGGGATGTTTAAGTTTAAGGAATGATGAGAACATCGCACCCACGATCCGATTTTTTTTCTTGTTAGCTTGTCGATTTCAGGTTCGCTCGACTGACTGCATGTAAGTGCATGTTAAAGTATTTGAGAGTCCCTTTCCTCAACTTGTTAAGACGGGAAAGGAGCCCCGCCCGGAGACCGCATCCGAGCTGCTGGCCAACCAGGTGCTCTGCTCAGTGCGAAAGTGCTCCAAATCCCCCAAATCCCCCAACTCCCCGTGCTCAGGACCTCCTCGTGCGCTCGCTCCGAGACCCGGCCACCTGGCTCAGCTCCGGGCGCTGTGGGCCGACTGCGGAGAATCATATCCTCCAAGGCCTGGCTGGGGAGGCAGGACGAAGAGAGGCGCCGGACAGAGCCGTCTTCACTCCGCGCCGAAGAGATGGTTTCTGAGTTCATTTGCTGGGTCGCAGGTTGCACGAGGATTCCACTCTCGAGGTTGGGCCGCGAGCGTAGGGGCGTAGGGGCGTAGGCGTCTTGTGACGTTCCTAGACGGAAATCACACACTGCCCATAGGAGTGGGGCTCGGCTCCATGGCCCAAGCTACTCGTAGGTCGGGGGCCTTGAAGCCATGCTCTGCATCTCTGAGCCTCGCCCGAGCAAGGCGCCAGTAAGGCTTTTCAGGTGACCAGACTGGTGAAATGGAGTGAATTAGTAAGTGGAGACATTCCAGAGGGCCATCATGGAAGCATGTGTCTGCGCGAGACGGTGAAGGCAAGATGGGAAGTGAGGAAGTCAAGAACTTGCCTTGGCAGGACGCACTTGACTTCCTTTACACGCTAGTACATACACACATCTCTGCTGGGATAGCCACGTACAGCAGTGCGATTGCTGCTTGCAGCCGCTCAGGGAAGTGGGATGCTGCAATCTTCGTACTGCTGGACATGCATGCGCGACGAATGACACCCAATGTGTACAGCTACACAAGCGCAATAGCCGCCTGTGACAGAGGTGGTGGCCTCTGGGAAATCGCCTTGCAGCTCTTCGCTGAAATCGCTGCTTCAAGCTCTGAAGCCACCCAAGTCACTTACAGCAGCGCAATCAGTGCCTGTGGTAGAGCCCGGAAGTGGCAGGTGGCACTGATCCTCCTTGCAGAGGTCCTTGTCTCAAGTTGTGTGTTGAATCAGATTACCTACAACTGCGCCATTAGCGCCTGTGAGAAATCTGGGCAGTGGCAGTTGGCACTGGTGATTCTGAAAGACATGCAACAGACCAGAGCCGATCCAGATGTCATCAGCTTCAACAGCACCATCAGCGCGTGCGAGAAGGGTAATGACTGGGAGACTGCTCTGCATTTGCTAGCATGCATACGCCGTGCAGAGCTAGTCCCGGACCAACTCAGCATCAGCAGCGCGATCAGTGCCTGTGAAAAGTGTGGCCAGTGGCAGGCTGCACTGCACCTTTTCACTGGGGCCAGAGCAGCACATACCCAGCCGGACATCATCACCTTCAACAGTACCATCAGCGCTGCGGAGAAGGCGGCCCAGTGGCGAGTGGCACTGGACTTGCTCACACTTCTCTTTCAGAGCATGGCTCTACCCAACAGCATAAGCTACGGCAGTGCTATCAGTGCATGTGAGAAGGCCGGGAAGTGGCGTCTTGCCTTGAGCATCTTCTCCCAAATGCCATCAGTGAAAGCAAGTCAGAACACGATTTGCTACAGTGGTGCGATCAGTGCTTGTGAGAAGTGTGGTCAGTGGCAGATGGCGTGGCATCTGTTAGCAGCAATGCGGACCTCGGAGGTGGAACCGGATGTGATTACTCTGAACAGCACCGTCAGTGCCTTTGAAAAAGGCGGGCGTTGGCGGCTTGTGCTTCAGATGCTTGCGTGGATGTCGAAAACATGGACCCGGGCAAACAAGGTCACGTATAGCGGTGCAATCAGTGCATGTGCGAGCGGCGACAGCTGGCGGACAGCTTTGGGTTGGCT